GTTCCCTTCGCACAAGAGTTTCCCAGCTACACATATACCTCAGCTTACGAGCACAACTGGGACCCACACTTCCATCCCTTGCTAAGCCAGGTTACTAAGTGAGTCACGCTCCATTTTACGACCGGTTTTGCCAGCTTCCCTCATTGACCTCGCTTGTTGCAAACTGCCTGTGAAGATCATACATGGTGACCGTGTGACTCCACACACACACACACACACACTCACACACACTGCAAATACACATAGGTTGCCAAGCGCCCAGAACCTGATCGTGCTACGACGGTCATAAGTGTGAGAACGGGTCGCAAGTTACTTTTTTTCCCCAGCAGCAGCGTGAACCGCCGTCGTTCAGCGCCGTTTCTGTCCCAGCCCGTTTCTCTCCCTTGGAGCTGAGCTTTAAAAAATGGCATTGTTTGATCTTTGTTCTTTTTTGTTGTGGTTATTTTTAAAGCGTCGACTCTTTGCTGTCACTTCTAAGAATTTTCTTTCCTTCCTTCCTTCCTTCCTTCCTTCCTTCCTTCCTTCCTTCCTTCCTTCCTTCCTTCCTTCTTTCCTTCTTTCCTTCCTTCCTTCCTTCCTTCCTTCCTTCCTTCCTTCTTTCCTTCCTTCCTTTTTTTTAAACAAAATGGCTCTTTTTTGGGGGGAAAACCACCCCTGTTGCATATTAAACTGCAAGGCGGTTGCTGTGTTTGTGTGTGTGTGTGTGTGTGTGTGTGTGTGTGTGTGTGTGTGTGTGAGAGAGAGAGAGAGAGAGAGAGAGAGAGAGAGAGAGAGAGAGAGAGAGAGAGAGAGAGAGAGAGAGAGAGAGAGAGAGAGAGAGAGAGACAAGGCTGGGACACGAAGCGTCAGTGCAAATTGGGTGGTTTTTTTTCTTTCTTACAAGGAGGCTCCAGAATCGAGATCAGATCTGTTAATTACAGAATCTGTTATGCTCAGACAGGTTTCGGTTTTAATCTCCAGAGGAGGGGAGGGGTGGAGAAAAAGGCTTCCATTTTAATAGACACAGACTGGAGTTGATGTGTACCACCTGGAAGCGTGTCCACACGTCTCAACACCCAGCCTCCCCCTTGAAAAAGGGGGCCAGAGGGAGCGTGGAAGGCTGGGAGAGGATGGGAAGGAACGTGAGCTGTAAACAAGCACCACGAATCCTTTAACTCATCAACAGCACTCCAACCCTGGTAACACACACACACACACACACACACAATCGCAGAATCAGAGAGCTGGGAGGGTCCTCAAAGGTCCTCTAGTCCAGCCCCCTGCTTGAGCAGCCTAGACCGTTTCAGACAAAGGGCTGTCCAGTCTCTTCTTGAAAACCTCCAGGGATGGAGAAGGGAGGGAGGGAGGGAAGAAGGAAGGAAGGAAAAGCGAGCGAGAGTGAAAGAAAGAAAAGAAAGAAAGAAAGAAAGAAAGAATAGCAGAATCACAGAGCAAGCAAGTTAACAAAATAAGAGTTGGAAGGGACTTTGGAGGTCTTCTAGTCCAACCCCCTGCTTTACCCTTCCTTCCTTCCTTCCTTCCTTCCTTCCTTCCTTCCTTCCTTCCTTCCTTCCTTCTTCCCCTCTCCCTCCCTCCCTTCTTTCCTTCTTCCCTCCCTCCCTCCGTTCCTTCCTTCCTTNATAGCGTATCAATCCCCACATGATTCAGAGAATCATTTCAGGCCTAAAGGCTTCCCATCTGTCTATTATTTCAACAACAGGGGGGAAAATTGAACCGGAGGGAGGGGGAGGACAAAAGCCCCTTGCAGACCCTTCCCAGCACCTCCGGCTTCTGTCTCTTCCCCCCCCTCCTAGGGAGTCCCCATTTTTTTCAGATTTGTGGAGGGGGGGCAAGCAACAGTCCTGGAAGGAAGCCCTTAGCCCCCTTCTTCAAATGGGTTGGTGTCTGGATCCGTCCTCCCTGTCCTTTTCTCCTTCATAAGTCATAGGGACTAGAAACTTAGCCTGGTGCAGGAAAGTAATAATAATAATAATAATAATAATAATAATAATAATAATAATAATAGTAATAGTAATAGTAATAGTAATAGTAATAGTAATAGTAATAGTAATAGTAATAGTAATAGTAATAGTAATAGTAGTAATAATAATAAAGTTGGAAGGGACCTTGGAGGTCATCAAGTCCAACCCCCTGCCCAGGCAGGAAACCCTACACCATTTCAGACAAACGGCTGTCCAGTCTCTTCTTAAAAACTTCCAGCGTTGGAGCATTCACCACTTCTGGAGGCAGGTGGTTCCACTGGTTAATTGTGAACTTTCTCATACAAGCTCAGAAAGGTCTTATGTGTTTTCCCTTCGGGAACGCTCAATTCCCCCCCGTGAGAAGCGGCAGGGGTGTGTTTTTCTTGGCTTAACTGTGCAGGGGAATTCTGGGAGCTGAAGTCCATACTTCTTGCTATGGAATTCTGGGAGTTGAAGTCCACCGGTCTTCAAGCCTGCTGGCTGGGGCATTCTGGGAGTTGTAGTCCACCCATCTTCGAGTTGCAGAGGTTGAGAAACACTGGTCTGGACACACTGGCATCCGCAGAACACCAGTAAAACATCCCAAGGACGTTTGCTAATTTAGATTAGCCAGGTTATTGTCGCCCATCGTCGCAACATCTGTCCGAGAGTGGGCCTGTTTCCCTCCCCCCCCCAGTTTTACACTTCTGAATATGACACCAAAGCCCTTGAAATGAAAATAATCTCCTTTATCTGGGAAATTTTCTGCAAGGCCCCAACCTTTATCCTCTGGGATTATTACGCTCAGTTTTCTGGCTTGGTGAGAGCCCAGTTAATGACTATTGATTGTTCTCTCTCTTCAGCCAAAAAGAAAAGGTTAGATTCCGGTTAGGCTTCTTTGCAGGCCCCTGAAAAACAGCTTCATTATGCATTGCACAGATCTATAATTTATTTATTTTTTTTTTCCAGAGGCCAGATTAGATCTTGGCTTCTGCGGCCCAACATCTGTGAGCCGAGAGGACTTAAAATCAGAATTTCCTGATCTGGAAGCAAAGAGTTACTCAATCATGAGATGTTAACGAAGAATTCCGTGCTTTAAGAGGGCTTCAGTTCCCAGAATCCCCCAGCCAACATGCTTTAAGATGGAAAAACTTCAACTCCCAGAATTCCACAGCCAGCATGCTTTACAATGGCTGCACGTCAATTCCCAGAATTCCCCAGCCAGCATGCTTTAAGATGGGTGGACTTCAAATCCCAGAATCCCCCAGCCAATATGCTTTAAGATGGAAAAACTTCAACTTCCAGAATTCCACAGCCAGCCTGCTTTAGGATATGTGGACTTCAACTCCCAGAATTCCTCGGCCGGCCTGCCTGCCTGCCTGCCTGCCTGCCTGCCTGCCTGCTGGCTGGGAGATTCTGGGCGTTGAAGCCCACCCCTCTTAAAGCAGGCTGGCTGGGGAATCCTGGGCGTTGAAGTCCACCTGTTTTCCAGTGGCCGAGCTTGAGCAACGCTCCTCCAGAGGGCATCCAGCTGGGTCCAAATCCATGACCATCGTTTCAGTGCCCCCTAATTGTGGCTGTGTCATTTCACCCCAGCGACCTGCGTTTCTTCGGCAGGTACCACGACCAGCAAGATGTGACCAGCAACTTCCTGGGCGCCATGTGGTTGATTTCCATCACCTTCCTGTCCATCGGCTACGGCGATATGGTGCCCCACACCTACTGTGGGAAAGGGGTCTGCCTGCTCACGGGGATCATGGTAAGGCACGAAAAATCTCCTTTTTTAATTTTTTTAATAAATGCTCACGTTCACAGGCATAAGAGCATCGGCTCAGCGCTGGGGCTTCCCATATATTGGATTTTTTTTGACCCTCCCAATTTTGGGGAAGGGTGCAAAGGGGTTGGGCACGGATTGATTTTCCCATGGCCCCTTCGGACATCAAGCCTGAGGCGGGACTAGAACTCACCGTCACCTGGTGATTGGCCCCAAGTCACCCAGCCAGCTTGCTAGCTATGTTCCCTAAAAATAAAGCCTTCCTGTATAAGAGCAGTCTACCTGTTCAATACATCTTCCCTTCCTCCTGGCCAATTTTGGTTTTTTGGTTTTTTGGTTTGTTTTTTTCCCAAAAATGCTGGCAGGCCCTTGTGAGAAACAGGATGTGGAACAACTGGGTCTCGACAGGGATCCCTGTCAATCCAGAGCAGATCCAGATGTTCCCCTGCCCGGATTCCCAGCTCCAGCTGGGGTCTGTCTGCAACAGCCTGTCCACCCATCGGGTTAAGCAACGCTGCTTGATTTCTTTTCTTTCTTCTTTTTTTTTTTTTAAAAAAAAATGTCTTCTTTTCCGTGCTGGCCGTCTTTGGTTCATTTATGTTTTATTTGGGGAATGGTCTTGATCTGCGTTGCCTCCTGGGAAGAGGGCTGGGCGGGAGAAATGGGGATTGGAAAAGAAATCAAAATAATTGCTCGCGGAGGGTTGCTGATCTTTCTCAAGTGGGGAAGCGATGGCCTTGCCAAAGGGATGGCGAAGAATTCCAGAGCGGAGGGAATCGGCTAGGAAGGTGGAGGTTTAGAACTCGGAGCTCTGAGTGGGTGTGCTGCGACCTCTCTCTCCCTCTTTTCTATCTATCTGTCCATCCGTCTTGTCGATCCAGTTCCTATCTCTCCACCCATGTTCTGTCGTATAATTCCATCTCTCCATCCATCCATCCATCTCTCTCTCTCTTCTGTCTCAATCTCTCTTTTCCATCTTCTATCTCCTCCCTCCCTTCTCTTTCTCCCTCCTTTCCTTCCTTCCTTCCTCCCTCCTTTCCTTCCTTCTTTCCTCCTTTCTTTCCTCCCTCCCTCCTTTCCTTACTTCCTCCCTCCCTCCTTTCCTTCCTTTTTTCCTTCCTTCCTTCTTTCCTCCTTTCTTTCTTTCTTTCCTCCCTCCCTTCCTTCTTTCCTTACTTCCTCCCTCCCTCCTTTCCTTTTTCCCTCCCTCCCTCCCTCCTTTCCTTCCTTTTTT